TCAAATTTTGTTTCAAGGATTTACATGTAATAACTTTCCTCTAGTACTTTTTCACGACTATTGTCTGCACTCAATCCAGAGACGATATCTCAGYTGCAAACTTTAGATTTGTTCATAACGAAACTTGACTGGAATTCTAGTTTAACACAGCTGTATTGATCTCTTTTACGGTATTCACGTATTAAAGGAAGAATCGATTTATACGAGCAAAGCTGTATGTCTAATTTAATATGAAAAGTCTATAAAAACAAAGTCAAGAAAACAAGTGATTTAGATGGGATTATTTCCTTGAGGAAAAAGGAATGTACCTTTATTTTACATCATRCTTTGTTTTAGAAAATTACATATTACTCATTTATAGATATGGAATSTTTATTACAAAGCATACTTCATAATAACAGACTATTATATTTGTGTTGAAAACCCAGAGATCCTTTCCACCCCCTCAAATCAACGAGTTGTTCTTTTAGTACCAGTTTGTCTGATCTGCAAAGGTGCGGTTTTATCTCACAGGATGTATTGCGTGGRCAGGGGATCAGAACTGTGAAGGATTAATGAAGAGCAAAAGCCTTTCCGRCTCTCCTTTTATTCCTTGTTGTTAACGGTGAATTGCACCGTTTTGTTATTACGTCGCATTGTTTTATCGAAAAGGATTATGGTCGCCATAAGTGACTTCATATCAAATAAAATGTACATGAGTAATCTTTGATACATGACATATATCAAAACACGATATATTAAAGTTCTACTGTTGGAGTGATGATAAATGAGACAAAATTCCACTGTCTTTGAGCACATTTTCCCGTAGTAAAAATACTCTGACGTCACTAATGAAATAGGAGCAATTAACTTATCAATTTTTCCATTTAATTTCTCTCAGACTGCTTCTGATTTACTGGAATCAAACAAGCTCCTCGAGAAAGACATTGCTAGTATGAAAGAAGAACTCAAAGGGCTTGCAACGTTTTTGGAGAAGCATGAATGYAAATTAACCAATACTTAGATATAGACTGGGAACGGCGTGTGAATATCATAGCCCTAAATCCGCCTGATAACACTTGTCCTTGTCCATCCTAGTGATAACTCATCCTGTAGTGGAGAACTTCATCTACCCTTGGAACTATAACCGCCCATTGGAATATATGGGAGTGGAAACTGTTAATACAATAATCGCAAATATACACTTATTTCAAAAAACGCTACCGGTGAGAACTGCTCTGACGACCAACGGCGATTGTCGAACGGAGATTGTATGACCGAAATGGATTATGGCTACGGTCGTTTGATATGCAACATATTTCTCTTTTTTTGGGTCATCTCACTGAAATTCAGCACTAAATGGAGCTCATGTTTACCACGGATCGACTATCTTATAGTATAAATCCGTTGTTTTAGCAACAGTTAGCCAAAACCCGACCTTCTTTCGGTCGTACAATATGCATTCGAAAATTGCCATTCAATCCGACAGCCTTTTTCGAATTCACATGTAAGAATTTAATGTAAATGAGATAATAATGAGAGGTAGTCTCATTCCCAGGCCCTATAACTTTATTTGTGATAAGGGCCTGTGGACGAGTTTGAATGAGAAGAGAAAAAAACGACAAATTTGCAGTTGAATTCTGAGAATCGAGTATAAAAGGGCCTTTTATTGTATGAAAATATCAAAGAAAATAATATTTTAGCACATATATATTGAATCTATTATATTTATTGAATTTGTAACTATAGCATATTKGAATGTAAATACTGACAATTAAATATCTCACAAATGAGCCACAAACCATAGAAATCTCATAAATACAAACTGTTGTACATAAAATCATTTAGATTTTTTATTAAAATGTTCGAATGCAACAAGAGAAATTCAATTTAAAACCCTAAACTGAATACAATTTAAAAAACTTTTAACCGCAATTTTGGCGTGTTGAGGCGCTTCAAAGTTCCTCACGATCAATCTCCCTTCAGTGCCACGCCTATMATTATAAATATTGCATTTGATACAATGAGATATTTAAGGGAAAAAACATCCACCTGCAAATGCATTTGCTTTCTATTGTCTACAATTAATATATAATTTCCCAAAAAATTATGGGATATTATTGAATGCCTATTGACTTTCACCTTTACGTCATTCCAACCTCGTTACCAGGTCTCACCCACTTAACCAAAAAAGAAGGGATAAGGGCCTGGGAACGAAGTTGACGTCATTCTCAGATCCAAAGCCTTTTCGGCTTTGATTGATATTTCGTTGTTGTTGTTGTTGTTGTTGTTGTTGTTGTTGTTGTTGTTGTTGTTTTTATTCATCGACGGTATCATTTATCAAACACTGAAATGCTTACCACAAATTGTTGCTTTAAAAAATACCAAAGATTGGACTGAATGTTTCACTAGTTTCCCCAGAACTTTATTTGTGCCCCTGTGTGTACAGAATCAGTTAAGCTCGACGACTATCAGAGAAAAAGTCTCTCGTATATCTCGGTATTTTCAGCAAACTTATTACAAGACCAGAAATAATGTGCTTTCAAATGGCCAGAATCTCAAAAAACTACGATTCTTCGATGACCGGATAAACCTCAACTTAGGTTCTTATGTTTTACTCCCATTTTTCGCAATTTAGATCTAGTAATTTGTTAGTCCTAATTAAAAACTATATCGTTCCAAATCAAATAACATATTCCCAGCTCTTTGTCATGAAGGCGGCTTGGTATAGTTCTTACTGTTAACTCCTTTACCCAGCAAGCACCTGTGCGTACGAAGGTCTGACGTCAGGGTGTTGACTTCGGCTCGCAGACTCGCTATTTCTCGTGCTAAATCGTTATTATTTTGCTCAAGTTGATTGGCTTCCTGTTAAAGAGACAAATATACACARGTGTGGTCAGCGGATGTAATGCGGAAATTCAATCCCACCTAATTTCGTTTTATCCGGTAAAACAAAACTGCTCTTTAATTAAATTCCGCGTGGAAAGTTTATTTGGAATAGCTAGTTTGTCCCGTAAAATGTTCTGTTGATAAGCACTTCTCTTTGAGCTGCATGAAACCTGGCGCAGAAAAATATCGATTAAACACGCGCTACTGGAGCACTGTTACTGGCTGGATTTGCCAATTTTTCTCGAGAGGAAGTTCATATCTGTCATTTCTCAGTGATTGTTAGGATGRCTGTTGCACTATATCATCGATATCTTCATGAGAAAATAAACTTATCAATACGCCCCCTCAAAACTGACCCTTTGTTAGAAAGGAAGCCTTTTGTTTATAAGAACTGATTCCAGTATTATTGGAATCAATTGAATAGACGCGCTGCATGCCAGGCTCAATCTCATGTAAAACATTTACCCGTTCAAGGTCGTCGAGTCTTTGTTTCTTTTTCTCTCGACATCGCCAGGCAGCCATTTTATTTCGCTCTCTTCTTCGTTTTATTTTTRATTGTTCCTCTGGTGTAAGCTGAAAGCAATGATTGAATATAACTTGTTGAAAGATGAATGAATGGGTATCAAATGTATTGAATGCACGAACTTAGAATGACTTTCCGTTAGACGGTGAAGTACTGAGTTAGGCTGATGATACTACAGCATCTTGCAGCATAATCTGCGTACATCCAGTTTATTTTCTAAAATACAAGTTTACGAGTAAAAAAGCTGGATTAAACTCAGTCTACTGATAGCAGGGACTTAAAGCATTGTTTTCCTTTGTTGTTGTTGTTGTTGTTTTTTTTTTAATCAACCATAAAACTAGTCAGCAGCCTGTTTCTTTGCATGATCGAAGGAAAAACTCTCTAAATGGATATTTTATTACAAAAATAAAGCAACCCTGAAACGATGTATCATCATCAGTCACGAAAAGCTCTCATCGAAACTATATGAATACTCAAAAACTATATGTGAATCATCAGCCAAAGATGACTCAAAATATGTACCTCATATGTGGTTTTAGCCTCTTGCTTAATGGGTAATGGAAGTGCATTTAAGCCTTGATTTACTCGTCTTGCTTGTATTGCTTGTTTTAACTCTTCCTTCACTTGAGCTCCTTCCTCGTTTAAACCTGACGATGTAGCGAGCGCGCAAGCGCTATTGCTWGGCATTGCCAAACGATCCCGAAGGCTGTCACCACTGCAACTCGGAGGGACGTATCTGGCCTACAATTGTGATTTTTAATTTTGGAATCAATAAAAATGGTATGAAGTAGAWCGAGGAGCATTTTTGAGATGCAAAAGACGTCTCAAAAGAACGTCTTACAAAAATATAATAAAGAATAAACTATTTCATCACCAAAGGTGATTTTCACGAGGGATTTACCCTTTCCCAACAAACCCAACAGCAGCATGCACTTGTCATGACTTGTCGTTGTACGTATCTGAACTATACGGAGAAAGGGTAAATTCCAACCTCTGGTAGATACCCCGGCCAGCAGGGTCGTGACATGGTATATTTTGTTACTCGTTATCTCGTTTTTTAGGGAACCATTTATGTACGTTGAAACGCTTTTACAACTGAAGGGCAAGTTCCAATGAGAAAAAGAACTAATATCTGTAATATCACTTGTTCGTGAACTCTAAAATTCTTATAGACTTGACTAGTTTCCAACTTAGTTCGGGCTATGGATCATGAAAGATTAACAAATGTAATCGATAGGAAAATGTTATTATTGCTAGCGATAACATTYAATTCCATTTTCATTCAGTAGGTACATTGCGAGAGCTATGCGGAATCAATAATGTAAATTAGAAGGAAAAAACATGAGAAACTGCTCGTGTTTTTGTTTGATTTTGCCTATCAGTGCTAGCGTGGTTTCGACATGTCGATGAAGCACGTAGGCTCATTTTTCAAAATACAACTGTTCGAATATCCATAATGAAATGGGGTAAATATTGACTATGCTGATGACTGCGTTATTTTTTAATTTCATGTTTTTTTTCAAGTTTGCATCACTTCCGGTTATCCCATCCGGTTTACACAACCTTGCATATTCCGTTTGACTTTTAGTTCTGTTTGATCGGTTTTGACGCATGCAAAAAACATCGCTTAAAGAGTCTTAAATAGTGTTTATGAATATTGTAAAGTGTATTGAGATAACTTAAAACGATTAAAAACCAGGKTTTTTTTTGAAGTCATCGCCTAAAAGAGTTTCTTTCACCTTTAAGTAACATTCTTTGTTGTTATATGTAACCTCGTGTTCTAAATAAAAGCATATATATATATATCATCTCAAAACAGTCAAAAACGTAACTCATTCAGTAGATTTGAATAGTTTCTTTTAGAGTAAGGACGATTTTGTTGTAAAAAAAAAAAGTTCGGCCTTTTGTCCAAGCCGTGAAAAACCAGCTGATCGGCGGAATGGATCACTCTAACATGACTAACATTGACCTCTTTCAAATCTCATATCATTGAACATGATATAAAGTGAAATAACTCTCTCAGAAAACTTGTCTTAAATCAAACAAATTAGAAACTTTCCTCGCTAAGTTGAAAATAATCAATTATTCTTTTGTTTTGTCGAGTTTCAAGCCTGACTTTTGAAAAATTCCCTAACTGTCACGTCAGAACGGCTTAGCATAACACAAAACTATAATTCCAGATATTTCCAAACTAACCTTTTGGTCAGATCCTCTAGAAGGGAGCATTTTTCGCTGTCTTGTGTACAAATAAACTTTGTTTGATGCATTGGTTTAAGATTTTAGAGCTAAAAACGAGTCTGACTCTGGCGCACGTGCTAATCGAGAGTTACGTCATCGATCTTTTCGCATGTTTTCTATCGATTCAGTTCCGGTTTGCATATTGATGATCTAACAAAAAATGACTTGATTGGTTAGAATAAGTTAATTGGTAATGACGAAACCTATGTCATCGAATCCAATCAATTAAGTTGGATAAAACGAGTATTTTACAATGGTATGTCATGTTATGGGAGTCTTTTATTTGCACTTACATTAATGTCAACGCATGGCTCGCGGTTTTCCTGTGGTTTTTAATAGACAATTTATTATTTCATAAACTTATAAACTACCGCAGCCTTTTGGACTCGGCAAGTTTTACAGAGTATTTTCCTATTTTATTCAAAAATTTTATTTTCAACTGAGAACTCTAAAGTAAGAGAATTTGAAAATTTTCGGACTATTTATAATAAAAGCCATTAATGGGCTGATATCAAATCAATCGCTTTATTTTTAATTCTCTTCGCTGACGTTAGACGCGTATTTCGCCACGGATTGCTGAGTTCAGACTACAAAGTCTGGCGAATTGAAACTGTTAAAACATAATTGTAACCTTTGTAATAATGTAGAATTCTAAAATAATAATTTTTTCATTAAGGAATACGCGATTTAACAAATCTATAATCTATGGAGTCGACAGCCGCGCACAGCGGCCGAATAACTATCTTTCAAATTACGCTTAGTAATATAAATGAAAGTCRCGTCTTAGAAAGGAGATGAAAAGAGTTCATGCTTAATAGAGAGGCGTAGAACAACAAATAAAAAATAAATAAATAAATGAATAAAAAGGATGGGCTGGGTGTGACGCGGGAATGCAAACGTTAGCTTCAATACTAATAAACAAAACAGAAACGTTCAAAAAATTCAGAACCATTGATAGATAAATAGACAATTACCTCACCCCTCCCCCCTTAAAAGTGCTCGTCGCATGATCAGTAACATGATCAAACATGTCGATCAGCTGATGAATCGGACTATTTCCTTGTTTTGCTTTGAAGAAAWAACAAATGGTAGAATAAATAAATATTATTTTAATCATATATAACTGGAATTCCCTATATTTTATCACCAAAATATTACCACCGACAAGTTTACTGATAAGTTTGTAATAGTTTTTTCGATATTTTAATTGATTAATTCCTAACATACGTCGGCATCACGAGGAGCTAACGAAAAGACAGTACATTCAATATAGAGGAATGCTTTATCGCCAGCCGAATATCATCAGTTCAAATAATACTGTCTTGAATATTATCCAGGTAACCTTATGTTAGGTTGTAGGAAAACCCAGAGCGGTGTTTTACGTGTCATTGAATCAAAATAAGTTTTCGAAATCAGAAAAGAATTGTGTGAAAATATTTTTCTTCGCGCATTAAAAAGTTTGCATGCGTTATATACACAATTTATATACCATCTTCATCAACAAACAATGAATTTTCGTTGATTAAAAACACTGAAAAAGCGCTTTTATAATGCATCGGATCTTTGTCTCTTTACTGAGGAAATGTGCTTGTCATAACAAAAAGTACATTCAGTGAACTTTAATCTTGATTCGGACCAAAGTACAGTGGTTTCTTCTATATAAATACTGCTTTAGAACAGAATTATCAACCGTTTCAGCACAAATGTTTATACTTCCCGCTTTGATCAATGTTTTGAAACCATAAATATACAKATGTCAGCGTTTCTAAGATTTCTATCATCACTTCAATGACGTGATTACGTATAGAGAAATACTTCTTAATATCAAAAAATAGCGTGAGCAATTATTTACAAATCTCAAACCTTTTATAAACTTACCTTACGGTTACTGTTGTTAGTARAATATCGCGTCTACTGTTCTATCACTGATTCCGTGCTACCGCATTGTCCCTTTGTAAGCTTCCATGTTTGTGTCATGGTTCTTTGCCTTCCTTATTGTTGCTATGGTTACCTATACTATAAATATAAAGCGGGAAGCTAATGAATCTCAACTTGTCTTGTATATAAAATTATAATTGATATTTAAGGTTAACAAGTCTAGACATTTTTGGCAGCTTATTTTTTTAGGAATAGCTTCCTTGTTCTCTTTGTGAAAACGTGCCGTTAACCATTTTTCGCGGATACGTGACTTGAAACAAARGGCACCACGTCGTTGGGATTTGTCAGAAAGAGACCAACACGCAATTAATGAATTAAACCAGTATTACGTTCTATTTAACACGACAGCTAAAATGTTATTACTCCAAGTATGTTTCTCTCTCCATAATAGCTTATGTCGTTCGTAATAAATTTAAGTATAGTACGAGTGTTGATATGTTTATCAAAACACCGAATACTGGGCGCCTGAGACACGAGGCGTAGTCGACTTCCTCGATCCGTTCATGCCATGGATGATTATTGCATAAATTCAAAGGGAACTTCTGTTTGAAAGGTTCATTATTTTAATGGATGTAAAATTTAGAATCGAATTTAGAAACAGATTCTTCTTCCCGAACAGACGTAATTAATACTTTCTTTGAGGCAAGCCAATCACAGAGTTCCGATAAATGGAAAGCGCCCAATGTAACGTATTGGCGAATGATTTGTTTACATATCATTAGCATAAGGATATAACGTTTTAACCTAACTATCAGTAAATCAGCACTGAATATTGAAACAACATAGCACAATAAACTTTCCACGCAATTTTGAGCTTCTCATATGAAATACTTTTTGCGTACAACGGTTTTGAAAACTCCAATTTTTAGAGAGATTCAGTATATGAGCTAATTAGCGCTTTTGCCACTCAGCATCTTTGAACGCTAATATCTCATAAACTAGTCCATGTAATGACYTCAAATTTTCGTAGTTTATACTTCTTAATTATAAGCCCTTTTACATTATAAACTTATTTTACAGTTTTCTTTAATTTAAACTTTATGCTAATTAGCAAAATTTTGTAAACAAAGATCCGCCTATATATCAACAAGAGCGTTGCAGTAGTGTTTATTTCTTTGTTCATTATATATAATCGTGCAATATAAAGTTGAAATTAGGCCATACGCTACTGCTGTGATAAGTTTACTTTCGAGCTTTCGTCGGTCGCCGACATCATCAGGAGATATATAATTGTCTTTATCTTTTTTTTTTTGATAAACGCTAAATCTTACATGTGTCGAAGTCAATGAATCCCATTGTAATTGATTTATTTCGTGCTTTTTATAATCATCACCTCATTTGCATTACCATTAAGCACATGCGGAAATATATAGTGTGTAACCGTCTTTAAGTGCATGCGCAAATATTAAASTCAACAAAAATTGCAGCGTCAAGATGCGCTCGAGCAGGTTTTCGCCAACTTCCTTTTCCGCCATCAAAAGACATGTTTTATAGCATGCTCTGTCAGATCGTATGAACATAAACTGATCCAAGAGAAAATGAGCTCATTTTCATTTTCATTTTGCATTTTTTCATGTTTTTAACTCATTTTCTCTTGATTTCTCGGGGGGGGGGGGGGTAGTAGAGGGACGAGGTTGATGATATTTTTGGTTGTTGAATCAACCAAGAAATTCTTGAGTACGAAAACATTTTCAAAGAAGGAAGAAATGTTGATAGAGCGACCATGAAAAGATTAAGGTGGTTCTCAACGGCAAAATGTTTTGGTCGCCCAACAATGATGTTGACATAATTTTCGCTTGATCGGGGTTAAGAATAAAAAATGAATTTTCGCAATTCCGCAGCAATTCCGCAGAATTGTATCCCTTCATTCTTATTGCGTTTTACACCATCGAAAAACAAAGGTGGTTTTGGATATACTCGAAGGTTTGATTCTTCGTGTTCCATTATTAATTAACATAGATTTTGAGTAGTTTACTATCAACATTCCTCTTGTTGAGGGACGTTAAAAAATGGTAATTGCAATGACTTTGCACTTTATTAGCCATTCCAGAGTTGCTCAGAGCACTGGGCACTAATCAAAGAAATATTGATTTAATCACGAAACAAACCCCACCCCATGAAAGGACACCCAAAAATTAGTAAATATACCAAGTTTCAAAACGTTTGGATAAAAACTAGCTGAACAGTATTTATTCCTAGTTTCATCAAATTAACAGAGAATGTAGTGTTTTGGGGACGCGGTCAAAATCCCCATACATATTTCTCTGTAAATTGCACGGCTTCTCATTAATTGAAGATTTGTCCGAATGATCTGTAACTTGGAACCTACACTAAAGTCGATAAAGTCTTTTTAGTGATATGGTTAGTTTTTCGATTGGCTCAATATGACAGAAATTACAATTCATTTCATAACTCCGGAATGGCTAATAATCAATGGATTTAGTATTCCATGACAAGGATTCAATGTACCTGTAGCATCTGGAAACACTTCTGCACGGAAAATTTTGAATCTGTTTACGCATSAACCAAAAATCTTCTCTTTGAAAAAGCCCAGAATGATGCGTAGTTATACTCAATAATTAAAGTTATTTTTAAACACACGCKCAAATCATTCATCCATCATGGTAGGACTTCCTTGTTCTTCTTCAACGCGCTTTTCAAACTTTCAATGTATAATCAAAACAATAATTGCTCGTGAACAACTTGAAGATAATTTTCAATGAAAATTTAATTCCATGTACTTGYTTTGCAACTGTTATGGACGCTTGTCTCTTTCAGGCAATAGTTGCTAGATAAACTCAATAAAACTTGTTGACATAACGAGATCAATATAAGGTTTCCTGTTAGTGTGGTGCACAAGTTATGAGGGAACATTACAATAAATGACCTGCGAGCATAGGATGTTTTCGTCCCCTTCCACGGAGAGAAACTTCAAAGA